TTTTTCTTTCCAGTTGGTGATCTACAGGAAAAAGAAACACAAACAACAAAAAAGAGAAAACAAACAAATAAATTATATTGTCCTTTTTGATTCATAATGACGATGTAAATATTTCTATTCTATTTCGCTTCGCTCAGCCGAATAAAAAACATTTCTATTATAAGTAGAGGAGACAAGTAATACGACAAATAGTGGAGGGTGCCGCCAGCAATGATCGAGTTTATTTACAAGAATCTCAGACACGCTGAACACAGGTTACAAGCCAGACAATATAAGAAAATGTCACACGCTATTTAAAAAAAAACGATATAAACAATAAAGAAAAAACAGCTTCGAGTAAACTGGTCGGCGTCAAGTGGTGTGATATTCACAAGGAGTGGTATTTTAAGACCTAATTAACCCAGTGGGAACTATTACAAAGCAACCTAATCAGTTAGACACCTAAAAGAAATACATGACAATTGCTACGTCAGGAAGCTCCTCACACAAAGGTGTTTACAAGGATAAATAAATACTTGGTCTATACCAACTAAGATTTGTGTATAGGGGTTTTTCGACCTTATGACGTCAAAATATGGTCTTATATATTAGCAGATTTATAGTCCCATTCATTACTGATTGTGGAGGATAAGGTGCAAGCATACTTTTCCAAGCTATAAATTTGTTCACAATTATTACTCTTGTTTTTGGAATTTGCTTCAAATCTCTGAAAGTAGCACGCGACTTGACCTATTGACCAAGAAAAAGTAGACCACATGGAAATTGAAAATAGAGTTACCTTTGAAACACTAAAGTTGCAAATACCTGCTTATTTTGGCTTACACACAAAGCTGCTTTTCCAGACCTCCAGGTTTACACCAGGCAGCTCATTGCAGCTGACAAACCCTTTCACAAGACTAAGAGCCTCTTTCGGGATGGCAGCAATGTACTCGCTGTTATTGCAGATTACTTTTGCCAGGGACGTCTTTCTAATCTCCTCCAGCTGACAGGCCGTGAATGCCGTTTTGGTCGTATGCGAGGAAGCTTTTGGCTCATTTTCGAACCAGAACCGATCCCCCACTCTCAAGAGTCGAAACTGCTCAGCAATGAGGCATTGGAACGTTGGGCCTAATACGCCACC